CCCCCATTCACCTTTCTGTTTATTTACCCAGCACCTCTCCTGTTTCTGGACACTGGAATAGGTGATTCATTCTTCCTTGAGGACAGAGAGGCATTGGCAGGAACTCAGGACAAATTAATTACCGAGCTGGGTCAGCCCCCAGCCCCTCTCTTTCAGCTCGGCCGCCAGCTGCAGGGCTGAGCTGCTGTGATCCCGAGAGCCTCCTGAGCTCTCGATGGCATCGGTTCAAGGTCACCTTTGGACTCTGCAGAGCCTCTTCCTCCCTGATGGAGGCTTTTGGTGGTGTTCCACCGAAGTGCTCATCTGGCCACAGTCCAGGGATTGGCAAAATTAACAGGACACCTCAAGCTCTGCAGCAGCAGGTCCTCCATGCTCCTCCCTGGAGGGCTGTGCTGCCTGCGGGTGGCAGAGCCGAGGTTTCCTAACACAGCCACTCCCCTCTCAAATAGGACCAGAGTTGAGGGTGGGGGAGGTGGGGCAATTCTGAGCCTTGGCCCAGGACCAGGTTTGAACATTGTGTGGGCATGAATTTTGTCTGCCTAAACAATGTCCCTCCTTTGAGAAAACTGCTCATCTCCTCTCCCCTGGGACCCCCCCAACATTGTGGGTTTGTGGAAGAGGTGACAATCACAATATATGCCCTCTTCCCAGCCAGAGTTGGGCATGAGACCCTGGCTGCACCAATCACAGTACTTCCTTATCCCACAGTGATTGGCCCAGGGATAGGCACATGACCCAAGCCAGGCCAATCAGAATCCTTCCCTGGGATTTTTCTGAGGCTGCCTCTTGAGTTCTTTAGCTGGAAGGATAGGTGCTTAAGTCCTCCAGCAGAATGGCTGTCATGGTATGGGGAAAACCTTAGAAGGATTGAACAAACAGGGCTGGCCCCGTGGCTCACTCGGGAGAGGCCACGAGTTCGGATCCTATATAGGGATGGCCGGTGCGCTCACTGGCTGAGCGTGGTGCGGACCACACCGTGCTGAGGGTTGCAATCCCCTTCCTGGTCAAAAAAAAAAAAAAAAAGAAGGATAGAATAAACAAAAGGAAACAGGTGCAGAAGGAACCAGACAAGAGTCCTGACAGGGTTTTGAATCCCTAATTTCAGTCAGTCCCTTGGCTGCCTCCACCCCTGGCCTCCTGATTACTTGGTTTTGTGAACCACACCTGTAGCCAAAGAACCTGGCCTAATACAAACTAGTATAATTGCTGCCCATTTTAGACCTACCCTACTGACATCTCCTACCCATTTGGAAGTGGACGATCCAGTGTGTGGTTTGCCCAAGCCCTTGATTTCTCCCTTTAGCCTCTTGCATCAGGGTGGGCAAATGTCTTAGTCCGTTTTTGTGTTGCTATAACGGAATGCCTGGGACTGGGTAATTTATAAAGAAAAAAGGTCTATTTGGCTCACAATTCTGTAGGCTGGAACATCCCTGATGGGGCAACTGCATCTGGTGAGGGCCTCAGGCTGCTTCCACTCCTGGCAGAAAGCGGAAAAGAGAACATGTGTGCACAGAGGTCACATGCGGAGAGAGGAAATAAGACAGCGGGAGAGGAGGTGCCAGGCTCTCTTTAACAACCAACTAAGAGAGTGAGAACAAACTCACTCCAAGGGAGGCCACTAATCTATTCAGAAGGGATCCACCCTGTGACCTAAACACCTCCCACTAGGACCCACCTCCCAACATCACCACACTGGGAATCAGATTTCAACATGAGTTTTGAAGGGGCAAACATATCCAAACTACAGCAGCAGGGAAAGCCCAGGGGACCCCTCTCAGTCCCCAGGTGGACGCAGTGGATAGACCCTCAGGTAGAGGCCTGGGGACCAGCACCTCCGGATGCTCATGGCCTTTTCCAGCTATAAAGTGTGTGCATCTTGGGCTCTGACTTCTTTCTTGCAATATCTTGTTACGAACACATTCTGGGTGTTAAGAATGTTCTCTTGCTTGTCTTTTAGGTTAGTCCACACAGGGCCAGCTTCACAGGTGTGTGACCACGCAGTCGCACAGGCCCTGCACTCGGAAGGAGTCCACATTTGGTTTCATGCTCTGTTGTCGCCATCTAGAAATCCTTAATCATTTTTGAACATTCTTGAACATTTTTTAATATCTTGTGTCTCTGTCATTCCTTAATGCTTCTTCCCCTCCCTCCCCGCATGGTCTTCTCCCCACCCCACCCATAGGTGGACTCTTCTCCCAGAGGCCGCAGCCTCTGTGGCCTGGTCTGAGCTGTCCCCACGCCAGCCGGCAGCTGGCTCCTCGCTGCTCATCTGAACTCTATGTAAAATCAAAGCCGGGATTCATTTCATTTGGAACAATGCCAACGTGGGTGGCTTCTCTGGCTTCTACCCGTCAACCCCCAACATCCTGCAGTGCTGCTTCAAACAGACGGAGGCTGCTGGGAAAGCTGCGCTGGGCAAACCCAGGACAGCACTGGGCTCCTCCAGATTGAGCAATTAAGAACTCTGCCGCAGGTGTAAACAAGGAGAGTGGCTTAATAAGATTGCTTCGTAGCTCCATAATGAGAATTTGCAAAGTCTAGGAAGCAGGCAAGCAGCCTGTGTCCTTGGGAACACCCTGCTGAACATTCAGCAAAGATATAAGGGGACCTAAAAATTTTGTAGAAAAATGAAATTAAAAGATAATACAAATCCCTCCATGAACTTTTTGAATCACCCTCATATGTCCTTGCTGTGGGCCTCAGAGCATCTCCTGGAAGAGATGGATTCTAGCTCCTCACATGCCGCCTCCCCCACTCAGTGATGGAATAACACTGAAAAGAAGCTGCTGAGGGCTGACCCGTGGCTCACTCGGGAGAGTGCGGTGCTGATAACACCAAGGCCCCGGGTTCGGATCCCATATAGGGATGGCCGGTTCGCTCACTGGGTGAGCGTGGTGCTGACAACACCAAGTCAAGGGTTAAGATCCCCTTACCGGTCATCTTTTAAAAAAAAAAAAAGAAGCTGCTGAAAGTGCCCATGACCTCAGGCTGCACACCCGCAATGTTTAACATGAAAACCCAGTCTGGGGGGAGAAGCCAATAGGAGAAACTGATATACAATTTGACAATAAAGAGTCCGGATGGGGTAAAAGTGATTTATTTTTGGAGCACAGTAACAGCTATGAAACTAGAAATTTTTCATTTACCCGTCCCATCCATGTTTTTGTGTCACAAAGACATACTAAGACTTTGGAAAAATTCCAAAGGGGATTACACTTGAAATGTGCTATTTCTTCACTTTTTTTTTTAACTTGTCTTAATCAAATAAAACAGCTTTACAGCTTACTAAACTCAAACTTGACCTCAAAGGAAGCAGTTTAAACATTTCCAACTGTATTTCCACATCAGTAGACAGAAGCAGAGAGACAAAAAGTGGCTCTAACAGACAGCTTGTCTTGTCAAAAGGAAAACATAGACATACACACACATACACATCATGAGGAAGATCCCATTTATGTAGAAAGAGTGGGTTCTCTTCAGAACTAGGGCCCGGAAATGACAAGGCAAAGTTGTGGGTGCAGGGTCTTCTTTGGAAAAAGGAGGTGAGGAACACATCTGGCTCAAGCCATACTAAGATGCTGCTTCAAAAAGAGGAGTCACAGGGAGACCCAACATCACTGCATCTCCAAGACACACCGTTTACTGTAATGAGAGGGCTGGGACCCCGTTCTCCCTGGGATGCACCCTGAGCTGTGCCCACAACATATGCAGCCTAGTAATAAACTGAAGAGTGTCTCTCTGCGCTGGCCATACGGCAGGGGGCTGGCGATTGGTTTTCCACTGGGTAGGACCTAACACTCTTCCTGAATGGTAGAGCTAACAAGTTTCCTAAGGAACAAACGAGCCACAACCCATTGGGCTGGCATCCTAACCCAGAACGGGTAGATGCCACCCGGAGATGCCAGGACCTCCTGAGGATGTGGCGGTCCACGCTCTGGCAGCACTGTCTCATTTCTCACCCATGGCAAATGGGTGGGCCCTTTCTCCCCAAAACACAGGGCAGTAGCTGGCCAGAAGGAGCAGCATTGGGAAGGTGGCAACCAACCCCCATGAGCCAGGCTCATCCCAGTTCTCCACTGACCCACCTGGAGGCCTCTGAGCAAAAGTCCTGACTCACAGGCCCCAGGCTCCACCAGAGAGGGCCTGTTCTGGAAACTGTCACGATGGAGCAAAGTGGTGTGTATGTGTAGTGTGTGCGTGTGATTGTGTACGTGTGTGTGAGAGAGTGTGTGTGTGAGTGTGATATTTGTGTGTGAGGGGGGGAGGGTGTCCAAAGGGGTGGAAGACCTGGAAGCAGGGCTGCAGGACAAAGTACCCCTGCCACCCCTGCTCAGCCCAGTCCAGCCACACAACTTCAGAGTGACAAGTGGAGCCCACACATCAAGCCTGGGCTCCCCTTCCATGTGAGGTTAGCAATAGCTGGCATGAAAACTTCCAGATTCCAAAATCTCCCCTATCCACCTGACTACATATTTGATGCGGTGAAATTCAAGACCATTTACCAGTCTTTTTCAAACTTTCAACCATGACCACATTGAGTTTACATGGGCTACCGAGGATATGTGGACAGACACGTCTACATAACAAGAGTTTCACTCACAGCCTGATTTCATGGAGCATGCTCTGATATTTCCTATTCTGTTGTATCTGTGGTGGTGACCCACTAAATTGATTTTGTGACCTACTTGTGTATTCCACTTGCAGCTTGACACAAAGAGCCATGGACTGTTTGGGACAAACCCTTGGAGCTGTAGTGGGTCTTCCAGCACATCAGAAATCACTCCCTCCATGAAAGCGGGTGGACCTCCATGCAGCAGGCCCTATTGGGGTACCATGGGGTACCCCCTGCTAAGGATGAGGAGTCAGGCTTCCCTGACAATCTTTAAGGAAAAGGGGTCCCACAGCGGGCCGACTTAGGTCCAGGCTGGCAACCACCGGCCCACCCGTCCGACTTGCAAGGCCAGACTAGGCCATTCCTTGCAGCGACGTGAACTAGTCCCCTAGGGCTTTCCCAGCCTTGCACCAGCCCTTTGGGATCTCTGCACGAGAACGATGAGCCTGGCGAGGTCGGAAAGCTCGGGGAACGAGGCCATCACGCGGTCCACCAGATCGGGCGGGAAGATGCTGCAGAGCGTGGTGCGCACCCGGGCGCGCGCGTCCCCCTCGTCGGCGGCGGCCGCGAACCCCCAAGGGCCCCCAAAGGCACCGTCGCCCCAGACCGGATCCACCCAGGCCGAGCAG